GTGATACATCCATTTTTATAAAGCAGCTGGCACCATAATAATAGAAGAATTATTTTATAAACGGTTGGATAAACTGCTTCCGTGCACTTCCCTGAAATTTGGTTTAAAATGAGAGCGCATAGTGTATCATCTTATGGGTCAGTAAATATGACATAATTACTATAAAAACTGAGCCAGAAAATAGCATTATTACTAAACTGCATTTTTGGGAAGCGTGCATTTAAATATGGTCAAAATGGAGTCTTGCGTTATTTGACAACTCAAGCGTGCGAATAACTTATGATGTTCATGCAATAGTGTATAAAGAGTCAACTTCCGATGAGTGTGAGGTAGCTGTAACAGGCAAATTTAAGTGAACTGCACTTGCCACTGCGGGGCCGGAACACCACGGAGCTATGACCTGATTAAATGTTCATTCTACGCAAGGGGGCAGCGGGACGGTGCAATACACTGCGAACTCTGGTCATAAAATAGTCATGCGTTATTTAACCGCATTCTGATTACCTTAATGACAGGAATTTTGATTCCATTCAGAAGGATCTTCATCGTTACCAATATTATAATTCATTGGTGCATGCATAAACGAATCATAAAAATTTTTTTTGACCGGATTCTGGAAAAGTACCAAAACAGTGGCAGTCAGGTTTATTTATGCTTCTGCTTATAAAAGGCGATCGAAAAGACTGTACCGACTACCAAGGAATCTCTTTTCTTTATTTACGCAAAGTTTTTGCACAGGAGATGTCGAGGAATGGAATGGCAGAGCAGAAGCTTCCGCACTGTTGGCAGCACAGGGGATCAGATCTTTACTCTCAGTCATGCCCGTAAAAAATGCAGTGAATATTCGAAAGAAGTTTAATTTATGCTTGCTTCACGGTGCTCAATAGAACCTATGCAGAGTACTGGTGGAATATGAAGTGTAGGTCATCAAATCCTAACATTGTACTCTGTCGGAGATCTGTGTGCGGATTAATAACAGGAAGATGACGCTAAACAAGCCTGCATGTTGGTCTCCGCCAAGGATGTGTGTCTTCTCTCCAATTCAGAGTTTCTGTGATTAAAATCAACATGTACAGCAGAGGCAAGGAAAACATATCACTTGAAGGGGTCCGAATGAATCATTTGTTATTTGTAGATGATCTCGTCATGTTCGCTTCGTCAAATAATGACCTTTCATGTGCGCCTGATCGCTTCGTTGCTATATGACATGAAGCGGGGATGAAAATCAGTCTTACCAAAACATGTTGGCTTTTGTACTCTCGACAAAGATACCTGATGCCCTCTGAAAATAAATAGAAAGTAGCTAGAGGAGGAAAAGAATTTTAAGTGTTTCCGGATAGCTTTCCTGAGTGATGGTAGGCAGGACACCAAAAATTCACATGTGCAAATTTAATTAACGCTTTAATTCGGGAGCTGAACCGGTTTGAAGTGACGAAAAAGCAATTGAGCTGTAATTCGAAACCGCTTATTTTAAAGTCTGCAGACGCACCTGCATATCTGTGGTAATGAATGCCGGATATTGACCGAAAGTGCAATTCCCACACAAACGACAGAAATATGATTTGGGATGCAAGTGGTGCAGTAAAATGGAATACAGACAGCACCGTTCGCTCGGAGGAAAACTGGCGTTAAAGGAACGTTTTGGAAGCAACCACAGTGAAAAAAACAAACAACAAGATCAGACAGGAAGAAATGTAGTAAATCAGTCCAGCATGACTCCAAATTATGTTAAATGAATAAGTTGTTAATAAATGCATGCTGTCTGAGTTCATCATCATATTTCTAGAACCTTCCATTAATGCCAAAAATCTTTCGAAAACACACCTGGAAAACTCACGACCACGGAGTCAAAACAGAGCTCATCATCCGAAAAATGGAAGGAAACTACTCGAGATTTGATCTTTTTTATCAGTTTCGGTACCACCAGTGAGGATAACTTTTTACTTGATAACCCTATCAGATTTACACGGCGAAGCACAGTCCCTTTGTCTATATTAGATTGAGGGACCGTTTAAACAAGCCATTGCTATATATTAACAGGATTTATTATTGGTGCATATGCCTATGGAAAGAAGTACATTCTTTAGTGTTCTAACGTTTTTGTTTGATCCAACAAAATGTTGCTGTTTTGCGTCAATGCAATGCAGGTGCTAAAATGTCATGTAGGTGTGGCCTGCTTAAATGCTTAAGCCGCAGTCGTGTAGGCTACTCGAAGCAAAGGGATGGATGGTGTTTCGCCGGGTAAATCTGGAGGATTGATAAGGAAAAAATGAACTATTATTTGTCAGCTTTAATCCAAAAAGACAGTATCTAGATCCATTTGAAATGTTTTTAAAAACAACTATTATTTAGAAAAGTATAATAGTCATTTGAAGACAATTTTATCGGAACTGAAGTATTACTAGCTTTACCAGACTCGGCCAAATACGGAAGAGGACAGTTTGAAATACTGATGACTGTTCCGCCCTTTAATCGGACCCAAAGCGCGACAGTTCAGTCACGTGATTGTCAATTCATAGAAAAGACTACGAGGGTAAAACCAGATGCCTAACTATCGAAGAGCCTACCGCCAGCTACCGAGCCATTTGGAGATAGCGTTGTTGCCAATGGAAACATCTCCTCTTGAGATGTTGCCATGACCCGAAAGTGACAGCACAGGATTTAAAAACGAATGAAACTTAAGAGTATTTTTTTGTACAGATACATTATTTACTGAGGGAAATACTCTGTACAGAATTACCTACATGTGCACATATTTACATCGTATGGTCATTTAAACATACGGGTCATCTTCAGCACAGAAGTGCTCATCGTTATTGTTATTAGTGGTCAGTTCTTCTTCTGCTCCTTCGGATTCATGGGACTCGGTTAATACTGCTTTCGACGGACCTAAAATATTACGTCTGCTCTGAGGTTCCTATTGGTGTCATAGATCTCACAAGATGCAATTAGTGTCGCGTATGCGAAGTTTCATTTTAGCGTTTTGACGAACCTGGGTCTGATGTGCAGTGCACTTGTGCGAATCCAATCCAATAGTTGAGATTTGCATCCTGTTTTGCGCTTGGTTCTAATATCCGCTGAGGCTTGCCCGGTGTGATAGTGATTAGTTTTTCCCAAGGGTATAAAAGAAATAGAAAACGGCAGGCGACAAACGGATGAAAGAAGCTTGAGAGAGGAAAGAGAAACAGAGGTCACTTTTAATGCTGAGGCGTCGTGCAACGACATTCGAACTGTGTTTGTGTGTTCAAGAGAGCATCGTTCGAACGCGAATTAGCATTTTTAATACGTGACTTGTAAAACGTAAAAACATATCAAAGTAAAACGTAAAACGATTTACATATACAATATGTACAACTGGATGTGGTGGCTGAGGGAGTGAGTGACATGCGCGCCAATCACTGACGGTAAAGTCACAGAGACGACAGCATGTCAGTCACGTGTAGTACTGCAGTTCGTAAAGCAACTGCTGAATGATCAGCTTTGCATAGGAGCGTTTCGGCGGCGGCAAACGTCGCAGGCAGGGGACAAGGCTTTTCATGAACAACTCGTCCTCGTCGTCCGACGACGACTCATCGCCACTGCCGCTCTTCAGCGTCATCTGCCGATCGGTCGGACAAAGCACGTCAAACAGGCCGAGACCGGCGCGAGCCGCCGCCGCGGCAAACTGAACGCTATCGACGCGCAGCGACGGAGACGGCGACGAGCGCGCGTCGCAGGCGGACAGCGGCAGCGCACAATCTCGGCGGCGCTCGGCGGTCGCCGTCGGCGAACAGCTCCTCGGCAGCCGTAACTCGTCGCACGACACACGCTCGTTCCAGCCTCCGCCGTCGCCGTCGCCGTCATCAGTGATACTCGACGTTGGCAACGGCGGCAGTTCGGCGGTGTCCACGCCGACGTGCAGCCCCTCGCAGCGTCCGGCGGCGGTCAAGGGTCGCGGCGGAGGCCGGCGCGCATCCTTTCTGTGGCGGTATCCGTTACTGGATCTAAACAGTGGTACGATGTGGAACGTCAGTACGCGCTGACCGGTCGACGGTCGACAATCGCAGCTTACCTCTTTATTTGAACAAACGGCACCAAGAACTCCATCTGTTTCGCGTAACGCCATGGCCGTTTAGCGATGCCGCGCTTGGTGACGCCTCCCGAACGCAGGATCTTTACAAAACTGTCCCTGAGGTTCTTCCAACGAGTCTTGCACTCAGCACCTGAAAAATACACGCGCATGTAAAACTGACGGTAGGTGGTGGCAGCAACGCACGCCTCCCTGTTCGCCCTCGCTACTTCCCACCCAGTCTAACACTCAGTAGTCTGGCCATCGTTCTCAACCCTCCGTCCCCCGTTAACCGCTAGAACACGTACTTGAGTGTTTCATGTTGCATGCGATCATGTTCCAGATGCTGTCCTTGCGTTGGCCATCGCGATACGGGTTCAGCGACGTGTCGTACAGCTCGGGGTAAGCGGCGACCGCCGCGATCAATCTTTCGTTGTCCATTGTGTCTTGCACCATCAGCGGATGCTGCTGCTGCTGTGGTCGGTCCACAGACGACGGCGACATTGTCCACTGACCACTGTCCGTCGGCGACGACAGCGACACGCCGAACGATATTGGCGACAGGATGTCCGTTGTCGGCAAGTGATGGATATGCGGATTGGATCAGGTCGGATCGGACTGGATCGGATCAGGTCGACCGGTAGAAAAACACCAGTTTGTCGTAGGCGACGAAACTCGACAACAGCGACGACGGACGCGGCAGCGGCGGCGGCACCGGCAGATCGGATCAACGACCGGCCGGTCGGCAAACGACGACGCGACACACTGAGAAAGTAGTGATTCGCGCGAACACCGCGAGCGCGTCGTCGTCGACGCTGTCGTTTGGCTGATACGCGCCGCCGCGCCGCCGCGCCATGTCGCCTGCAGCTCCGCGGGCGGGAAAAGCAAATCGCAGTTCGGCCCGACCGACCGACCGACCGGAGGGTCGGAGGCTACGGCGGCGCGGCGATCGCATCGCATCGGGGAGGCGGCGATGGGGACGGCGGCGACGGCAGCAGCAACGGTCTGTCAGTCGGTCGAGCAAATTCGCGTCATACTCGATGCTGGGCGGTGTTCACAACGGTCCCTCATCACGTGATTGCGGGCGAAGTGGCGTTAACCTTTGTTTTTC